GGCTGTGATCTTTCAAAAGTAGATTACCAGACCTTTCTTCTGATACACCTCTGAGTGGACTCAAACCTCCAACCTTTCAGTTATTAGCTGAGCCCTTAGTCATTTGCACCACTCAGGGACTTCCCTGTTTATAGTTTGGTAAAATGCTGCAATCAAACGGTTAAGGACAGACATGATTGCTTAAAAGATCATCCAGTTAGCATTTGACTGTAGATCTTCTTAGCATTCTTACTGCTAATGCTCAGCTTTCTAGAGCTGAATTTTTCCTGCAGAATATAGGAAAGTACTGAATTTGCACATTTTTACAATTAGGCAATCAGGAAACACGATCTACTATGATTAAGATTAAGCAGATCCAATCTAAAGTTTCCCTAGTGACAGATTCATCATTAGTCATTAATCTCACAATTTTTAATTACTGAAACTAGTCAGCTGAATTCATGTGCAAGAGGTAAAACTAAAAAAAAAACTGTACTGAAATATATATGAACATGCTTAACTGTAAAAATGTGTAGTACTTTAAAACTACAAGGAGCAATCACTGGAATCAAGAGACTCTTTAAATCATCTGACACATTTCTACTGCCCAGCTAAACTCCTTAGAAAGGAGAAACCCTTTTAAAACTAAGCATGGTCTAGAAGACAGCTTAAAGTACATAAGACAAGCACATTTTCAACAACTCAAACTCTTAAAACAGGTTTAATCCCAGACACTGCGGGAGAAAAATGTAGAACAAAACTCAATTTCACAAAAAAAGACCAGATTTACTGGTCTGACAGAGACTGGAAGAATCCCCAAGATCATGCCCCACCCCCACCCCCAACACCCTGCTAACTCAGAACTATAGCCACTGCCTGAGTTCACTTTTCAGCCAAAGATTAGACAGGCCTATAAAACAAACAATAACATAACGTGAGGCATGTCCTCTTAGTTCAATCAAGCATATGAGACCAAACGGGCAACACCTACCCAAAAGCAAAGAGGAGGAGGCAAGAAGGGACAGGAAAACTGGAAGAATGGAATCCAAGGTGGAAAGGGGGAGAGCGCTGACATGTTGTGAAGATTGCAACCAATGTCACAAAACAATTTGTGTATAAATTTTTGAATGAGAAACTAATTTGAGCTGTAAACTTTCACCTAAAGGACAACTTTTTATTTTTATTTTAAATATAAAGCTTTGAAAGCCTTAGCAAGTGAAGACAGCATTTCCGTAAGATCTGTGGCGCCCAACCAATAAAAGGAATCAAAAAAGAACTAGTATACATTCACTTAAAACAAAAATCTGTATCTATGTCTTTGTCTATGACTAAGTCTATGTCTACATTGATTTATCGAAAGACATCTCCTTTGGCTTCAAGTTGAATTCTTTTTCTCTCTTTAGATGTCTGACTCTGTCCTCAGGGGCAACAGCAGTTAGGATAAAGGGCATGTGTTTGCAATATCTTCTGCCATCTCTGCCAAGTTGTAACCCAGGCCTTTTTTTTTTTTCCTTCAAAATTCTCCTTAAAATTCACTTTCTCCATGTCATCTCTACTGTAGCCCAGTTTTCTAGATTCAGTATTTCATTATCTTATTTTCTTAATTAATATAGAAAATTATCAATTATCTTCTGAAGTGAATAGAAACTATACTATCAGTAATTCATATACCATTTCTATGTGACTGGAAATTCATTATGACTGAGTGGACAATGGAATGAATGAATCCCTTTTTTATTTAGAGTAAACTTTAAATGAGTTTATGACTCCTTTATACTAATAAATAATTCAAGGGATGGGCTTTGACTTGTGATTGTGGGAACAATAGTGTGGTATGCAGCAATTTAGTTTGGCTGTAAATATTTATCAAAATTATTAGCAGTCAAATAGTTAAAAGCTCGCTGCAGCTGCACACATTTTCCTTTAGTTATATAGTTTATTTAGTTTTATAGTCTATTCTCAATTATCCACGTTAATGGAGGGGAACAAGATATTGAACAAAAAATAAACTCCTTCAAAATCATTTTTACTTGCTTTTAAATGTGCAGATATTGACATTATACCAGATATCACTTCAAACTAAATAAAGAAGTTCTGTAAAGTTCCTGCTGAGGACAGGGAATGTGTCCAATGTCCTGTAGTCACCTTCTTTGAAATTGTCCCAGGAAAGTTTGTATACAAAGTCATCCTTGAAAAAATTCAGACTGTCTATAAGAGTAAACCCACAAAATAAAAACAACTTTTCAAAGCATGTAGCTATTATTAATGAACTTTAGAGTACTAATTATTTCAATGTCAGTGACTGTTCTGAGAATATATTTTTTCTATACTCTTGTTTTTTAACATGTTTGTCCTTTCTACTGATAAGAAGCTGTCAACTTCTAACATCTGTTTATTACGTTACTAGTATTAGTTTCCTTTCTTGACAAATTGTGCAGCTGAGGGTCAGAGAAGCTAGGTAACTTGCCCAACGTCACACAGCTAAAAAGGGGTAGAGGTAAACCTCAACCCAAGGCAGTTAGCTCCAGATGCTGGGCTCTAAACCACATAAATGTGTCTGGGGGAAACAAACAAACAAGCAAGCAAACAAAAAAACCCTCTACTTCCCGTGTAACTTCTACCATTACTTCAATGACAACAACAATTTCTGAGTATATGAACTAAGTTCTATGACCAAGTGACATATTCTTGCTCTGCATGTCTTCCAGCCCAGGGATATTCCAGCTTTGAAGTCTGGTAACCTTCTGATAATTTTCCATGCTCTCAACCCTTCATACCCTGATTTGATACTGGGTTGAGGCTAACAATTAAGAAGTGAGCCCACAAGGCAACTTTGTATACCTCAATAACTTTTTTCTTTCCCCCAGAAACAAAGACACATGTTTGGATGCTTCACTAAAACCTGAGGCTCTTTAGCTCCTGGGGAAAATTAAATTACTATTATCGTGGGCTGTCACTATCATCTTCTGTTCTTTTCACATTGACCATGCGAACACGTACTCTGTTTCATACCACTATATTTTTTAAAAGATTACTTGCTTCTCTATATATCTGAGGCTAAGGCAGTTGTCACATTCAGATCAATCTCCAGACAATGGTTTTAATGGATTTGTTCCAGGAAGGCAAATCTAACATATGCATTACAATTTGATAGAAAACTAAGCTTTCATAACTTATTCTGATTCTTCAACACAAAAATGAACTTTGGTGAGTCAATACGATCAACTGAGCTGTCTATGCTTGAGTGTGTTCCTCTAGGCTTAATGTATTTTTTCTCACTGCATTATATTTTAATGATGAATTTCATGCTCTTTCATGGTATTTTAGCTCATGAACCATGGTTATTACTTGGAGAGAAATGTGAGATACTGTGTGTGATGAAAGATGTTACTGACTAAAGTGTGTTGCATATGTAAAATACAAAAAACCTGAATTTGAATATCATTCTTCTAGATTATAGTATCAGGCAGACTGACCACACAAAATAAAGTTAGACTGAGCTGAGGGAAGTGTGAGTCTTAAATGTTCTTGGATGAAAAACAGCACATGAAATTAAACTGGTTGTTTAATGTTTCATTGGGTCTTTCTCCTCAGTGGAATATGCATGAGAACTGATTTCAAAGATAATTGCAAGAGAGATACAGAGAAAGAAAGAATTTAGGCAGATAATAGATCATTGTGAAATTACTAAGACCAAAAGCCATCCCCCATTCTACACTCAGAAAAGGATTTGGTTAAATCAAAGCCACAAGGACTAAGAACTGAATATGCAAATATGGAAAAAGAAAAATATATTTTACCCTGTCCACACATGAATTATCACGGGGTTAAATACATCATGTTGATTAATATCAACAAGTAAACTACGATCAAGAGAAACCACAAGTAAACTAAGCAGAGATGTCCCCATGATGGACTCCGGCTCTTGTTGTGAAAGTGAGTTTTTCAAACCAATGTACAGAGTCTGGAGAAAATACTACTACCTTCCCCAAAACAGGACACAAAGTTCCCTCAATCAATGCAGGGACAAAACGTGGCAAATGCAGCTATTCTGCAAACAGGTGGTTTTTAAACTTTTACTTAAGCCACCAAAAAGGAAAATTCTGTTCTCTAAAGAAAGCACACATTCATTCTACCAGAGTAGGAGTCTCAAAACACAAACAAAAAACTAAAAAGCAGTTTGTCTTAGCTGAGATGTGCTGACATTGGTTTAGTATGTCTAAAATCACTGTTTATCATCAAACGCTTCTCATCTCATACATTAAAAGTACCAGAGAGAACTCAAAGGAAATGGTCCTTCTATTTCAGGTAAGACCTTATTCACAAGAAGACCGATGCCATTTTTACAGAAACAGAGTGCAAGAGGGAATCAAAAACTGTTGGTAGGAGAGAAACACACAGTTTATTATGTTTTTCTGACTGCACTGCATTTTTCGTGTTCTCAATACTTTGCTACATTCTTCCCTATGTTAAATTATTTCACAATTTCTAGGGCTAGTGGAGAATGAATGCTACAGCTAACACACAGATCTCCTTTAATTTCTATACTCCACCTTTACAAATAGCAGGATTCGGCAGTACTGGAGGTGAGGGCAGAGGACAGATGTTCCCAAACAACGTAAAGGGGGCGAGTAGGGTGGCGCAGGGGTAGATTGAGCGGGAAATGGGCGCTCTGATCCTCCACAATCCACCTCTCGAACTCGTGTGCTTCTTCAGTCACCACCACTCAGAGCAAGTCACCACCACTCAGAGCAAGTCACCCCTCAGGAAACAAGATAGGTTTCCGTAATCCCTCTCCGAAGTAATCAGACAGGTTCCAACCCAAAGGGCAGCGCCCTCCAGTCCCCGGTAAGTCCTCCACTTCTCTCCCCGCCTTCCCACAGGGGCCCTGGCTCCTCAGATCTCCTGCTGGGGCAAACTTTCCCGCGTCTCCCACTCTTTCCCGGACCCGCGGCGGCCTCCCCGGCACAGACCAGCGGGGCCACCCTCCCGTCCCAGGCGAGCCGGCGCGCAATCGGTACCTCGATGTCCGCCGCGTCCTTGCTAAGCACAGGGGCCATGGCAGTGCCTACTCTCTTGGAGTCTTCTAGAGACAGACGCAACCTGCGTCCTCCAGCCAGAAACCGAAGTGAAAGCTCCTTCCCGGAGCTGGAGTAGAAATGGGAAGCCGGAGGCGGCCGTGAGGGGGCGGGGCGACTGCCTGGCAGCGACGCCCCCAGGCGGGGCTGGGCGCTCTGCCTGCGATTCTGGCGCCTGCCGAGAGCGGAGCCGCGGTGGAAGGAGCCCGGCCTCCCGTCGTCCTTCCCACCCTCACATCCTTAGCCCTGAAGCTTGTTTTCCTCCTGCAGGTGGAAGGAAAGCTGGCCTAGAGCGCTCGGTCCCAGGCCTGGCTTTTGCTGTGTAAGCTGTGGAAGGTTGAGCTACATAGGCAGGGCCCAGATGTGCGGGATCCCCAGGGTTAATGTTATTCATTTGTTCCTGAATATCTTGCTACTCTGTCAAAAGCTTTTCAATGAAAATACATTTTCATTAATTTAAATGGGGGAAAACATGGTGAATTCCCATTTAATTTTCACCAACAGGAAAATATTTCCATTGAACAATGAAAATAAGTATATATAAGTGATAACTAACAATTTGGAAGTAAACAAATACACTTTGTACATAAAATGTAATGTTATTGTTGCTGTTGTTGTTAGGTGCCATCTACTTGGTTCCGTCTCACAGCGGACTCATAGCGACCCTATGTAAACAGAAGGAAACACTGCTCTGGCCCTGCGCCATCCTCGCAATCATTGCTGTGTTTGAGTCCATTGTTGCAGCCACTGTGTCAATCCATCTCGGTGGAGGGTCTTCCTCTTTTTGGCTCACTCTCTACCTTACCAAGCATGATGTTCTTCTGCAGGGGCTGGTCCTTCCTGATAACATGTCTAAAGCAGTGAGACGAAGTCTTGCCATCCTCACTTCCAAGGAGAATTCTGGCTGTATTTATTCCAAGACAGATTTGTTGGTTCTTCTGGCAGTCCATGGTATATTTAATATTCTTCACCAACCTCATAATGCAAAGGCATCAATTCTTCTTTGGTCTTCCTTATTCGTTGTCCAGCTTTCACATGCATATGAGGTGATTGAAAATATCATGGTTTGGATCAAGCCCACCTTAATCCTCGGAGTGACATCTTTGGTTTTCAACACTTTAAGTTAAAAAGGTCTTTTGCAGCAGATTTGCCCAATGCAATACGTCGTTTAATTTCTTGACTGCTGCTTCCATGGGTATTGATTGTGGATCCAAGTAAAATGAAATCTTTGACAACTTCGTTTTTTTCTCCATTTATCATGATGTTGCTTATTGGTCCAGTTGTGAGAACTTTCGTTTTCTTTCTGTTGAGGTGTAATCAGTATTGAAGGCTCTGGTCTTTGATCTTTATCAGTAAGTGCTTTAAGTCCTCTTTCCTTTCAGCAGGCAAGATTGTGTCACCTGCATATCCCAAATTGTTATGAATCCTCCTGCAATCTTGATGCCCTGTTCTTCTTTATGTAGTCCAGCATCTCAGATTATTTGCTCAGCATACAGATTGAATAGATAGGGTGAAAGGATACAACCCTGACGCACACCTTTCCTGACTTTAAACCACGAAGTATCCCCTTGTTCTGTAGGAACAACTGTCTCTTGATCTATGCACAGGATCCTCAAGAGCACAATTACGTGTTCCAGAATACCCATTCTTTGCAATGTTACCCATAATTTGTCATGATCCACACAGTCGAATGCTTTTGCATAGTCAATAAAACACAGGTAAACATCTTTCAAGTATTCTCTGCTTTCAGCCAAGATCCATCTGACATCAGTGATGATATCCCTTGTTCCATGTCCTCTTCTGAATCTGGCTTGAATTTCTCATAATTCCCCATCAACCTACCGCTGGAACCATTTTTGAATTATCTTCAGCAAAATTTTACTCGCATGTGATACTAATGATATGTTTGATAATTTCCACATTCTTTTGGATCACCTCTCTCTGGAATGGGCACAAATATGAATCTCTTCCAGTAGGTTGGCCAGGTAGCCGTCTTCCAAATTTCTTGGTGTAGACCAGTGAGCCCCTCCAGCACTGCATTCATTTGTTGAAACATTTCAATTGGTATTCCATCAATTCCTGGAGCCTTGTTTTTCACCAGTGTCTTCAGTGTAGCTTGGATTTCTTCCTTCGATTGGTTCTCGATCTGTTCTTGATCATATGCTACCTCCTGAAATGGTTGGATGTCGACCAACTCTTTTTGGTATAGTGACTCTGTGTACTCCTTCTATCTTCTATTGATGCTTCCTGTGCTGTTCAATGTTTCTGCCCATAGAATCCTTCAAAACTGTAACTCGAGGCTTAAATTGTTTCTTCAGTTCTTTCAGCTTGAAAAACATAATGTAGTGAAGATTTTGTTTATTCACTTTAGGAGTAAGAGAAGATCTTGTGGAGGGTGGTGAGTAGTGCTGGAGGTGTGTGGAGGTGTTTCTATGAAAGATATTTCCTTTCTACATCATTTCCTTCACCAGGTTTTCAACCCTTTTGTGCCCATGGTGATTTTGCACTCCAATTGTTCTTACAAATAAAATTACAGCACAAAGAAATGCTTTTAAGTCAAATTGTTGTTGTTAGTTGTCATGGAGTCAATTCCAAGTCATGGCCACCCCATATGTGCAGAGTAGAACTTCTCCATAGGGTTTTCAAGGCTGAGACCTTTAGGAAGCAGGTCACCAGGCCTGTCTTCTGAAGCACCTCTGGGTGGGTTAGAACTGCCAAACTTTCCATTGGTAGTCAAGAGCTTAACTGTTTACACCACCCAGAGAATCTTTAAAGGTAAAAACAGTCAGCACTCCAAGAAACAAATTGCTACTTTCCGTTCCTTCCAGACAAAACCTACAATTTGCAGAAACATTGTCTTGCTGGCAACTGCATCTTCAGGAACTTTTCAGGAATGAAGTAGTAGATGTTCCGTCATCCATCCAATAAACAGGAGGGCAGGACATTGGTCTGGATACTGTGAAAGATGTAAAATCACGAGTCTTCAGAGAATTTACTGTCCAAGAGAGGAGAGGCAAGCTCGAATATCTACAGCCAGAAGCAGTACGTAGTAAGTGCTCTGCACAGTACAAATTCAAAGTTGTATCTTTGCAGGACAATCCTTTTTAATGGAACTTAATGGAAGTTATTATTCTGAAATGTGAAGTCCTTTTCAAGAATTGTTCTGTATGTTTGGAGCCCTGGTGGTGTAGTGATTAAAAGCTCGACTGCTAACCAAAAGGTTGGCAATTCGAATCCACCAGCCACTCCTTGGAAACCCTATGGGGTAGTTCTACTCTGTCCTATAGGATCACTATTTTGAGTTGGAATTGACTCAACAGTGGAGGATTTTTGTTTGGTTTGTTTTTCTTTATGTTTGGCTCTAGAGCTTGCTGGGTACAGGGTAGCGATTTCCCTTAGAAATGGCCCCAATCCAGAAAACATTCACCTTACTTGTAAGGCTATCAGATTCCAGACCTCCCTCCTCTCTCCCCAAGTTAGCCACAGTGTCCTCTCTTCTCCCAGAACACTTTCTACTTATTTTTATGAAGACCTTTTATCATCTCCTCTTCATTGTTAATCTTTCATTCATTACTTCAATCAACAAATATTTACTAAGAATCTTCAAAGGGCCAGACACTGTGTTAGGTTCTGTAGATATAGTCTTCAAGAATACACTTCACTCTTACAGCACAATTGGAAGAGCGTAGTCAATGTCACTGAACTGTGTATGTAGAAATTTTTGAAACGGTGTATCTTTGGCTATGTGGATTTTCACCAAAAAAAAAGGTTGAGAATTTAGAGGGTTAATATGTTGTGGGGTTGTTAACCAATGTCATAAAACAACATGTATACTACTGTTTCATGAAAAACTATTTGTTCTGTATACCTTCACCTGAAGTACAATAAAATATTTTTAAAAAATAAATAAATTAAATTAAATAAAATCTGACTTTATTAGAAAAAAAAAGAATATACTTCACTCTTATAAAGCTCATACTCAAAGTACACAAGTGAACAAAATAATAAGAGACTGTGAGGCCTGCTTAGAAGATAAAAGAAGAATGTGACAGAATAACTGGGGCATGGAGTCTCTGGGTGGCAAAAACGGTTAAGCACCCTGCTATTAATTGAAAGGTGCCTCTGGAGAAAGTCCTGGTGATTTGCTTCCAAAAAAAATCACAGCCATTGAAAACTCTATAGAGCGCAATTCTACTCCAAAACACATAGGGTCTCCATGAGTTGGAATCGACTAGGTGGCGAGTGGTGTTTTAGTTTGGGTGCTCACTACATTAGGTGGTTGGAGAAGGCTTCTCTGAACAAGTTATCCCATTACCTTCCAGAAACTAACACTAGGGAGAGGATATTTTTTTCTTTAATCAAATAGTATTATCAAGAGAAACTACAAAGTTAAATAGAAAATTTGGAACATCCTACCATCAACAACAACAGAAAAAAACAAACCTACTGCTGCCAAGTCAACTCTGACTCATAGCGACCCTATAGGATAGAGTAGAACTCCTTGTTTCCAAGGAGCAGCTGGTGGATTTGAACTGCCACTCACATTTAATCCATTCTTAAGCTCTCAGATTTCGACCCCCCTGAAAAAGATCTTGAATCTTTCTTCCTTTCTCCATCTTCACTGCATCCAACAAGGTCCAAGTCACTGGTATTCCAGCTTCTATTCTTGCCCCTCTCCAATCCACATTGAGCTCTAAAACTATTAATTAGTTTATGCCACCCCCCAACCCCCAAGATAAACTCTTCAGTGGTTCCCATTACAGTCAGAATAAAATAGGAATTCATTAGAGTGACCTCTGAACAACCTCCTCCCTCCCTCCCCAGCCTCAATGAGGGTCAGTCTCAGCCTCATTCATTATGTTTCAACCAACAAGGCAATCTTCCCATGGTCCAACCACTTTTCTCACTTTTATATGCTCACCATTTAGGACACTCTTTTTCTCCTTCTCATTCGTTAGGTCTCAGAGAAACCTTACCTACCCCACTTTTACCATCAACTAAATTAGATACACCCTGTCTCTGTTGTTCTCTTTCTTAAGACCGCCTTTTGTTTTCCTTCATAATCCTGTCAAACTTTATTTGTATATTTATTTGAATGTGGCTTGTTGAATACGTCTCATTTAGAATATAAGCTTCAGGAAGAGATAGCCCATGTCTGCCTTGTTTGTCTACTGG